AGTGGTACATTCCACAACCTGTCATGACGTTGGCCTGAAGCTCCACACAGGACTTCCTCCCACAGTAATTCGTTTCATCTCTGAGTTGTCCTTATGTGGCTGGTGAGGAAATCAAGGCTCAGGGAAGCAAGTTCTCAGCGCTCACACAACCTGCTGGACACTGGTTTAAGATGCAGGCCTAACCTCTGGAATCCATGCTGCTCTCCCTCTCTCTGTCGCCGACCAGCAGCGTGTCTGGGAACACTTTCACCTCCAGTGGGCTGGTGCTTGGCTCCTGCTCCAGGACTCATCATGTTTGACCAGGGCGCTGCAGTGGATGGCTGAATCATGGTGCAATGCAGCGTTTGATATGATCTCCCCCAAACACAACTCAGCATCATTAAGAAGCATCACTGACTTCCCTTCAGAGTGGCTGGGCACAGTTTGACTAGATTATGTTAAAACTCTCCAGGGAAAATGGACTTTTCAAAGCCTACAATGTTATCTTTGCATAGAAACCTCTAAGGATGTCTTCTACAGGCAAGGGGTCCGCTAAGAAACATGTCCATGTTATATATAAGGGGTATCTAGTGGATTTACCCATGATTGTCCACATTGTTGGTTCTGGTATATATATATATATCTTGGTTTTCCTCCTGGAGCCAACTGGGTTTACCATATAAAATGTACAATACCTAGTTAGATTTGAACTTCAGACAAACACACCACACACACCTTTTATATAAAAAAGTATATCTCATATATATCCTTTTGTGAGTAGCGATATTATTTCATTTTTCCAGGCCAGCATTGAACTCTTTATATGTTGGAAGCTGGCCTTGAACTCCTGATCTTCCTATCTCAGTCTCCCGAGTGTTGGGATTATAGGAATGCACTGCCATGTCTGGCTTTGGTGATCTCTATGTGAAAAATATGCAGCATAAATCTTAAGTTTTAATATAATTGGGCATATGGTGTTCTTATTGTCTATCCCTGCAGCCCTGACCCCTCAGCTCAATCAAATGGTTATGGTGGCACTTTGCACAGGTGGCCCTAGTGTGGCCACCAGCATATCACATTCTTCAGAGCCATAGGGGTGACTCATGTAACCAGAAAAGATGAGCTTTCAAGAAGCTAGGCGTCGTGGCACACACCTGTAATCCCAGCACTCTGGGAGGCAGAGACAGGCAGATTTCTGTGAGTTCGAGGCCAGCCTGGTCTACAAAGTGAGTCCAGGACAGCCAAGGCTACACAGAGAAATCCTGTCTCAAAAACAAACAAACAAACAAACAAACAAAAACAAACAAAGATGAACATTCAATCAAAAAAATGGACCAATGAGCTTCCTATTTCTGAAAATCTGTTTGGCACCACTGAGAAAGACCATTCTTCTGGGCTGCTGGGCTGTAAGGAGTGTCTCCAGTGCCACAGGAGAGAGTCAAACTGAAGAATAAAGCCTGAAGTCAAGTGAGAGGAGGGGAAGAAAAGGGAGAGGGAGAGGGGGGAGGGGATAAGAAGAAGGGGAGGAAGGAGAGAGAGAGAGAGAGAGAGAGAGAGGAAGGAGAAAAATGACCTTCTGGGATGTAGTTGAGTTTTACCTTTGTGAAGTTATTGTTGTGAATCTTTTTATCGTTTTGGTGATGTATCAAATGAAAATGATGGTAAAAGTGTGGCAGAGTTTAGAAGCAAAGCTGAGGGTGGGAAAATGGGTCAGTGTGTTAAGTGCCTGCTGTTTAGGCACAGGACTTGATTTTGAAATCATTTTGCACCCACGTAAAAGCTGAATGTGGCTAAGTTCACCTGTAACCCCAGTGCTAGTTGCATGGCAGAGACAGGTGGGTCCGTGGGGCTCACTGGCCAGCAGTCTAGCTTCCAACAGTGCAGCTCAGATTCATTAAGAGACCCCGTCTCAGCAAATATGATGGAACATGTTGGAGGAAGACACTCAAAGTTGACCTGTGGTTTTCACATGTATATGCACAGGTGAGCACATGTGTACACACATAAGTGCACACACATGCACTTGTGTACATGCACACTCACATACATGCACACATGCACTAACACACCCACATGCACACATATACGTGCAAACATGCATTAGAACACGCAGCGCTGACAGAAGAAAGATGGATCTTATGGAAGATGGTGGTTGAGGATGATGGGGCAGAATGGTGTGCAGATAAGGAGATGCCGTTTGCAGTTGATGGCTCTGTTAGCTTGCAACCATGAATCCAAGTCCAATAGAAAGGCCAAACTGCTATCCTAAGACTAAAGATCTGTGTGGAATGCTAGAAGATGGAACTTATCATTATCACCAACTAAGACCATCTTCTGCAGGGGTTGCCAGCATGAGGCATATGTTGGGAGTTGTGTGGAGGCATTTCAGAAAGGCAGGCAATGGCCAATTAAAAATTATTGTGCTTACAAATTTCAGGGGCTGCTGCTGTCTCCAAGTTGTGGTCTGGGTTCTATAAATCTGAAGAAAAGCAACTGACTAAAAAGTCTAATGACTGATGTCCTCCCAAGGACAGTTTGTTCTACCTTGATAGCTTGGGATACAAAGGTGTCTTTTATTCAGGGGACAGAGAAAGCTCAAAAGAGGTTACTTTCCCTGAGGACCAGGGAATGCAGAGAAAAGCCGCTTGCCTCAGAGGACAGGAGAGATAAACATTCGCACAGGAACAGTGCTTAACTCATTAGGTGGTTTTTAGTCTGAGGTGTCAAAGCTTGTGGGAGACGAGGAATGCATTGCCTGGCTCTATGGCTTCCACAGTTAGTGACTTTTAGAAAGCCGACCAAGAGCAAGTGAAGTTGAGGGTCTAATTGGGAATTCCTGGGTAGCATGCATGCTGCTGCTGCTGAGGATGAAGGTGAGGGTGAGAAGGATGAAGATTAAGATGGTTTTGGGAATGAGGAAAACAACAGCATACTTCTCCACATTAATTTACTGATGGTGTTATCAATTTTAACCTCTTGATTTAAAACAGTCCATACACTTTCTTCCCTGGTCACCAGGTCATTAACCTAGTCCAAGTTACCTGGACCCCTTGCTGCTTTTACTATACCTTCCCAGCTCCTTTGATTTGTGTGTGTGTGTTGCTGGGCGTGGTGGTGCATGCCTGTAATCCCAGCCCTTGGGGAGGCAAAAGCAGGCAGATCTCTGTGAATTTGAGGCTAGCATGGTCTACAAAGTGAGTCCAGGACAGCCAAGGCTACACAGAGAAACCCTGGCTTGAAACACCAAATAACCCCCCCCCCCAATATATTTTTTTAGATATCATTGTGTGTGTATGTGTATGTGCACATTCTCATACATGACATGGAGACTGGGGATGCGGAGAAGTCAGGTGCACATTGCTTTGTTGTTTTCAGACTGGGTTTCTCACTGAATTAGGAGTTAGGCTGGCAATCAGCAAGCCCTGACAATCCTTGTGTCTTTGCCCTTCCTACCCAAGCTGGGTTTACAGTGCATATGACCCTGTCTGTCTTTTTATGTACATTCTGGGGATTTGAACTCAGATCCTTGCACAGCAAGGGCTCTTACTTGCTGAGCAACATCCCCAGCCCCTTCACTTCAACTGTTCTTGCTTCTTGCCGTTAGGTGAATATTACAGATATTGAAGGTTTTTGGGTGACTCCACCGCCACCACCATGTTGGTTAGAACATTTCCATTTCCTACTGTTCAATGATTTAAACTGCCAGACAGGTGAGCCCTGAAAGCCCAAGTTCCCCTCATGAGCCTGCAGGTCTGTATACCACAACCCTCTACCTTTCTTGTCTCACTCTTTCTGCACCTTTCCCTCACCAGATTCTTGCCCCTTCTCTGGAATGTATCAAAACTTTCACACTTCTACAGGTGCGATAGGCTGGTGTCTTCTGCATGTCTCAGGATCAATGTCACTTCCTTAAAGAGACCGAGACCTCCCCTCTAGCTACTCACCCCCATTACCAGCACTCAGCATGTTCTAAGCACACTTTGATGATCCTGGGCTTGACCATCAAAGCCTATTCACTTTCGGACTTTAGCATGGCAGTTCTTTAAGACTGTATCAAAAAACAGCATCAAGGTTTTGATCTCTCAGCCAATAAGGCAGCTGCAGCCCTCATGACAGGCCATCTCTGGCTCTTCGAATCTGCTTCCTTCACTCCCACAGCCACGCACACAGGAGTGATTTCTCTGGGTGTCTAGCTTTAGAAGGACTGGAAGACTGGGTTATGTTTGGGCTCCTCATGCCTTTCTTCCCAGCATGGGCCCTTGTGTCAGACGCTGTCAGACACGGTGGCTTTGGAAGTATTTCTTGAAGGAAGGAAAAGTTCTGTGCTGACTAAGAACATGGTAGGGTTGCTAACACTGATGATGGCAAAGAAGAGAATGGTCATGGTGTTTGTGCCGCTGCTGGTGACAGTAGTGATGACGGTTGTTGTGGTGCTGCTGATGGTGGGAATGGTTGTTGGTGATGGTAGGGATGGTTGTTTTTTGGTGAGGAAGATGGTGGGGTGAGGATGGGATGGTTTTTGGTGGTGATTGGTGGTGATGGTGGGGTGAGGGTTGGGATGTAGTGGTAATGGTGATGGAGTGAGAGCAATAGTGGAGATGGTTAGGGTGATGGTAAAAATGATGGTGGCGGTGGTGAGGAAGGTGGAGGAGTGCGGGAGAGGGTAGTGGTTCTAGTGGTGAGAGAGGTGGTGGCTGTGTTGATGAAGACACTGGTGACAAAAAAAATAGTCACAGAACCTAACCTTCCCTATGCTTCAAAGAACTTCTGTACAAACAAACAAACAAGCAAAAAAACAACAAAACAAAACCCCATCTTTTTTCCTTTATAGCCAGTCCAGAAAAATTATTTGAAGGTGGATTTTGGAATCAAAATCGCTTCAGGAGAAGGAATTGCAGGAGGATATGTAACCCCAGACTAGAGAATGACACCCCCATCCCTAGTATCGGAAGTCCGCCTCTCTCCAGCACCGCCCACTTGGTACCTCCCTCGGTCCAGCCTGCAGGCTTGGGAGCACAGTCTTTCTGAGGTTTCAGAGCACTGGTCTTGCACTGGAGCTGGGAGAAGCGAAGGTAGACCCGGGCTGACCTGGAGGGCCAAGGCAGAAGTGTGGGGAGAACAAAAAGGGCAGAGGGCGACTAGGGCGCGGCTCCGACAGAGGTGGGGAGCGGCTGGAGGGGTTCGTGGATAGTGAGGCAGGGAAACGGAGGCAGTAGCAGGGGTCTGGGCAGAAAAGTGCAGAGCTACAAGGTAGAAGATTCTGGGACTGAGAGCCGGGCGGGCGCGGGCTGGAGCTGAGTGAGGAGGCGACGGTGCTGGCTGGCGTGGGGCCGGTGCTCCGAGGAGGGTCGAAAGGCCCCGGGGCGGAGGTCTGCGGGGACAGGGAGCCCTGAGATCGCCCGCCCGAGCCGGAGCACGTGAGAGTGGGATCGCTCAGGTGAGGGTGGTGGAGCCAGAGTTTGAGCCGGGCTCCAGATCCACGCTGGAGAATCTGGGGGGCAGCGAACCGACGGGGAGCGTGGGCAGGAGCCGGCGCCTCGGGGCCCTGCGCTGGGAGATGCGGGTGCGTCTGGGCGCTCTGGCGGGCGCGGCGGCACTGAGCGGGGCGCTCAGCTTCGTGCTGCTGGCGGCGGCCATCGGCACGGACTTCTGGTACATCATCGACACCGAGAGGCTGGAGAGGAGCGGCCCTGGGGCGCAGGATCGGGGGCCCGCCAACCGCAGCCAGCCAGAGTCTCTGAGCTCCCACTCGGGACTGTGGCGGACTTGCCGGGGTAAGGGTCCACGTTCTCGCTGGGGTGCTGTTCCTGCAACCCCGCGACCTGTTGCTTGGCTCAAACGCCTCTCTCAACCTCCAAGCTCACAGTGCCACACACTTAGGGGCACTGGGGGGATGGTCAGAGAGGCTGGCCTGAGAAAGTGCTAGGTGCCCAGCTCGGATCACAAATGAACGACGCTCCCCTTGCTTTCTTGGGTGGGAGACATCTAGGGAGGCTTTGTGGGTGTGTGGGGAGAAAGCCAGGGTTCTGTCCGTGAATTCCTTTTCCCCACCAGTCCAGAGCTCCTGCACGCCGCTGATGAACCCCTTCTGGCAGGGGAATGTGACGGTCAGCGACTCCAGCCGACAGCTTCTCAGTAAGTCTGGGGATAATGGATATGGATGAAGGGGACAGTCCCTTTCAGCCTTTCACTTTTGATGCTCTTCTTGGGTTCCCAACTGCGGTGGTCGTGGAGGTGGTGGGTGGCTTTTGACCAGAGGGCCTGAGAAGCGGGTGGGGTTATGCCTGGGGGCGGGGCCACTCTTGCTCTAACTAGATAAGGTGTGCAAAATTCATCCAACCAACCGACAGCCCTGTATGAAGGTGAGCCCAAGCAGGTGTCTTTTGGTGCTGAATGCTGAAAGGTCTTGTCTCGTAGACCAAGGGCCAGCTTGTAAGCAGAAAGCGTGTGGGTTGATTCACAGCAAGTACTTAGGAGGATGAAAGCAGCCTGTTGTCTGAAGGGCCATTGCATGCAGCAATGGTGTCTGATTTTCCTAGCACCTCTCCCAGGCGCCCAGAACTCCTTAGAGAAGTGAGGCTCAATATAAGAGAGAAAAAAGGGCAGAACGATGGCACTTGTGGAAGGAGGGAAACGAAGGGAGTAATTTTATTTATTGAAACTTAGGGCTGTGCATACACTCAGCCAAGAGCTTTTCATTGCTGTCCTTGAGTCTCACATCCACCCTGTGAAGTTGGTACCTCCCACTTCTCTCCACTTCAGTGCTGGGTGTTAAACCCAGGGCCATGTTCACACAGGCAAATGCTCTACCCTGAACTCCAGCTCCAGCCCTCGCTCCCTTTTTAGCTTTTATTTTGAGCAGAATATCACTAAGTTTTCGAGCCTGACCTTGAACATACTCCGTGGCTCTGTTAGGCCTTGCGATTCTCCTGCCTCAGCCACCTGAGCAGCTGGGATTATATTCAGCTCCAGGCCTGGATATCACCTCCATTTTTGGCTTTCACTTGGAAACTGAGTCCAAGAAGGGTCTCTTAGAGGGGATCTGAGTGGAAAATGAGGTGAGAATCCATAGACCTTGGATGTGGGTGGGCTTGAACAGACTGCCTGAGGCTTAGGAAGTGACCCGTAGCCTTCTTATTTCTTCCTTACTGCTTCCCCCTGTACCCCAGCTTCTTCCTTCCATAGGACTTTGCACATGCTGACTCCTCTTCCTGGTGGCTCTCTGCTCCCACCCACCAGCTTAGCTTGGCTAATTCCTTCTCACTGCACAGGTCATTTGGCTTTTTTTGCATGTAGAATCTGACTCTTTCATTAGACTGTAAACCCTGTGAAGGCAGGGATTATTTCTATCTTGCCCACTGTTGAATTGCCAGTACTCAGAACACCCTGGCAGACAGCAGATCACAAAGCAAAGGTCTGCTGAACAAATGTGAGAGTGAATGCAAGCTACATTATGGATCAAAAAAAATATATGTATGTATATACATTTTATGAAAGAGAGTATATGGAGTTGTGAATGAACAGGTGGGAGGTTGCATGACTGACTGACTAAATAGATGCATGGGTGAGTGGATGGATGGATGGATGGATGGATGGATGGATGAGTGAGTGACTGGATGGATAGATAAGTGAATGACTAGGTGGGTGGACAAGTGAATGAATGGATGAATGTACAAATAGGTGAATGGATCAGAACTGTTTTTCCCAAGTACAGTAGCATTCTGGGAAAGATTCAACAATAGCTCTCTTAGAAAAAAATAAGCCTTTGATTTATAGTATTAGCCCAATTCTGTGGTGTAAATGATTTCACATCAGCTCACAAAATTCCCCAAATATTACCTGGCTCTTGCCAGTTCCAGCACAGTTCTGTGCCTTCTCTGGCCCTCTTGGCCCTGGAGTAGGTTTCTTGGCCTTTCTAAGCCTCATTTCCACACTGATCAAAATGAGATGTCAAATTTATGAAGGGTGCTGTCAGGACCCCAAATGTGGGAATGAAAATACATGAAACACTTAGGAGCTGAGGCAGGAAGACCAAAAGTTTAAAGACTTCTGAGCTCCAATGTGAGTTCAGTGTCAGCCTAAGCAACTTAAGCTAAACTAGTGGTTTTAAAAGGTCTGGAGGTATAGCTGAGTGACTTGCCTACCATGTACAAAGACCTGGGTTCTATCCCAGCATTGTGGGAGAAAATACTAACAACAACAAAACAAGACATTGTGTGGGCAAAACAAACATCACCTAGGACCTCACTTTGCTTTTCAGTATGTACGTGTAGGGCGACCTGTTGCCTCAAGGAAGGGCTTGTTGGACTCATGACTAGCTCTCAGCAAGCGTTCACTTTCCCCACTAAAGCCCCGTCCAGACTCCGTTTTATCAGTGGGCACACTGGTGACCCTTTTCAAAGGTTGGGTGCTGTCATTCAGTTGTCTGGCCCTGCTGACACTGGGCTGGCTTTCCTTTCACTTGCTGCCGCCACAGCCCTACTTGTTCCCTGAGCTTGAGAAACAGGCAGGAGTGTCACTCAGCAGCTTCTTGGCTTTACTTAGCTCTTTAGCTTGGATGTTGGTCTAAGCACCAGCTATGTGTGTGACCTGTCTGGGCCTAAGCTATCTCATGTTGAGGGTAGCAGCCATGTCCTTTCTAATCTTTTTTCTTAAAACCCTTCCCATTACACAGAGAGCTTTTAAAATTATGTTTATTGTTATTGTGTGTGTGCTGTCTGTGTATAGATCAGAGGACAGCTTCAAGAACTGGTTTTCTCCTCCCACCTTTATGTGGGTTCTGGGGATCGTGCTCAGGTCAGCATGCTTCAATATCAAGCGCTTCACGCACTGAGCCATCTCGATGGCCGCCTTCTAATCTTATGGTGAGGATGGAATTTCAGCGTTGCTTTTAATAAGTCCAGGGTACTGGGTGCTTGGTTACATATACATCCAGGAGCTGAGGCTGCTGTTGTTTCCATTGTATTATCCAGGAATGAGGGCAAGTTGCCCCTTTGGACTGCACACTCATTGCAATCGCTCCCAGAGAGAGCTTTTTCTCAGAATTGGTTTTTCCTCATAAATGAATTTTGTGTTTGGTCCAAGCTCTTTATGATGTAAAGATTTTTCAGCCATTTAAGATCTGCTACACAAGCTAGTGAGATGGGCTGACAACAGTGTTGTTCTGAGTCACCCCCTAAGCTGATCCTAGTGGGCAGAAAACCCAAGCCTGCCAAGGGGCCACTGCATCTGACCCCAGCACCGCTGCCTCTTGATTCCATTTGGCCATCTGGGAGGAGGATTGTGAGCAGACTCATAAAGTCCAGGAACAGATGGCCTAACTCCTTACCTCTTCCATCCAGGGGACCAAAAAAGCCATCTGCTCTAGTTTGATTTCTGTTACTGTGACAAACACCCAGACAAAAAGCAGCTTAGGGAATAAAGGGTTTATTTGGCTTACAGTTCCAGTTTCCAGTCTATGGTTGTGAGAGGAAGTCAAGGCAGGAACTTAGAGAATTGCATCCACAGTCAAGATCAAAGAGGGATGGGTGGATTTTTGCTTGCTTGCTAGTACTCAGCTAGCTTTTTCTCCTTTATATCATCCAGAATTCTGTGCATGAAATAATGCTTTCCACATTCAGGTGGATCTTCTCACCTTCAACCAACAAGCAAGATGAATCCCTACAGACATGCCCACAGGCAAAACAGATCTAGGTAATTCCTTATGAAGACTCTTCCCAGATGAAAACCAACCAGTTCAGCACTCAGGAGCACAATCCTTTGTGTCAGAGGCTTGTTACCCTGAGCGAGTGCTTTTGCTCTTCAAGTGCTCAGTGGACAGAGAGTGAACTAGGGGTGCCAGCCAGGAATATTTCAGTAGAAATGCCGGAAACAGCAATTATGCCAACTTAAAGGGGAGAATGGCTGGCCCACATATTTGAGGAGATCCAGTGTGTTGGGATAGCTGGAACTATCTCTTTTTCCTCCCTCTGAGAGCTTTGCTTTGAATGGGGGTTTGTTTAGGGCTGAGTCCTGTAGCCCAGCAGGGAGGGGCTTCTGCTTCACAAAAACTTGTACGTATCTCATTGGGCCAGATTAGGTCATATGCCTGTGTGTTGAGCCAGTTGGCCAAAGCTAAAAAGACAATGTGTGCTGATTGGCCAGGCTGGTATTCTTTATTTCTTTTCCCTCCTGGAGACAGTCTCTCTGTGTAGTCATAGTTGTCCTGGAACTCACTCTGTAGATCAGGCTGGCTATGAACTCAGGAATCCTCCTGCGTCTGCCTCTGGGTGATAGGATTAAAGGCATGAACCTATGGCCACTCTTAATAATCAGCCCCTCAAAGACAAGGCATAGCAAGTCGGGACTCTTGACTTCAACTTACCCAGCCATCTTTGAGGAGGTGAGATTAGGGGAAAACAAATCACCAGGTTGGGTTTCCTGGCATTCTGGATACAGGGCTGCTGCAGTAGAGTGGAAAATTAAAATGAAGCTGGGGTGTAAAATGAGAATGGAATTGTGGGCGCAGAACCAGAGAGGAGGACATAAAACATGTAATGTCAAGAAACTCTGGGCACAGGAGGGAAATAATGTGTGATTTCCTCGGAGTGACGCTGCAGGTGAGGGGTGTGCAGACAGTGGGCAAGGCCAGAGACCAGCAATGTCCTGGTTTAAATACAGAACCTTCTCTTATGGTCTTGGTCTATGGAGAGATCCCCAAGTAGTGAGGGTAGGGAGAGGTCGCTGAGTGGTGAGGGCAGAGAGGTCACAAATAGTAAGGCAGCAGCTGTATCTGTGGATGAATCTGGGGATGGGTTTGAGCTGAATGAGCTTTAAGAGGAGCAGTTGGAGGAAGTGGCTGTGGAGTGCTGTGTCATTGGCCTCTTCCTTCCTCTCTGCTTCTTGGTTGCCCAGAGATGAGTAGCTCTTCTCTGCTATGACTGTTCTGCCCTGTCACCAGCCTGAGAGCCAGGGAGCCAGGGGAGCGTGGACTAAAGCCTTGGAAGCTCTGAGCTCAAATCACCCTTTCTTCTCTCTTTTCTTCTTTTCTCTTTTCTTTCTTCTTCTCTCTTTTCTTCTCTCTCTCAGATATTTTGTCGCAGCAATGGAAACCTGACTGACACAGCGCCTCAATTCTTTGGGAGTTTGAGGGCTTGGCTATGAAGGCAGCCTTTCTGGGGTGTCTTTGGAAAGACAACTAATCCCATGTTTAAAAAACTTAAAAAGTTGGTTCACTTCTAGGATGTCTGTGATGCTTCTCGAATGAGGTACTCTGTGTTTGTCTGAAGCTGCCGGGGGGGGGGAGGGAGCCCTAAGTGTGTTGTTGGATAGAGAATGACTAGACATTTATGTGTGTACATAACGTTAAGGAAAATTATGTAGCCTGCAAGAAGAAAAGATTAATGTGCTAGAACATCAAGCTGCAGGGAGGAATGGACATGGAACTTACACAGTGTTACGTGGTGCTGTTTGCAGTGTTCCTCAGCTGGATTAGTCAGCGTTCCCGTATTAGGACACCTGACATGATTTACTCATTTACTTTTGCTCATGGATTTGAAGGTCACATTGTGCTCTCATTTGGGCCCATCACTTGGGAGCTGTGGTGACATACTGTGGAGGGAACACTTGCCTGAGAGAAACTGCTCACTTCAGAGCCAGGATGTAAGAATGAGGAAGAGGCTGGGGTCCCTCAGTGTCTTTGGAAGGCACACCCTCACTGATTTCACACTTCACTCCACACCCTAGATCCCACTGTTCTCATCACCCGGGGCCAAGCTGGGGACCAAGCGTTGGAGACACTTATCTTAACCACAGCCAGTGTCTATAGTCACAGCACACAACCATCTGTGATGTAATGATAGCATGGTCACCATAGTTACCATCTGTTGGGCACCTACTCTTGGTATATATCATCCTCATACTCTATATCACTCAAGGTATGGTAGTGTGGTAGATGATGCCCTTAACAAGTAAACATGCCTGAGTCCAAGAGATGGCTCAGTGGGCATGGGCACTTGCCTCACCAGCCTTGTGACCCTTTCATCCCTAGAACCCATGTGCATTAGTTTCTTTTCTGTTGTATTAGAATACCCATGACAAAGACCACTTGAAGAAAAGTCTTACTTTGGCTCATGATTCCAGGGGGATAGAGTCCATCATGATGTGGAAGGCATGGAGGCAGGCAGGAAGGGGTGGAGGCAGGCAGGTGTGACGGTAGGAGCAGGAGGCTGGCTGGTCACACAGCATCCACCTAAAGAAGCAAAAACTGAGTAGAAGATGGAGCCAGGCTGGAAAACCTCAAAGCTCACTGGACCTCTTCTGGCAGGGCTCCACCTCCCAATGGTTCCTCAGCCTTCCCACACATTGCCTCCAGCTGGGGACAAAGTGTTCAAATGAGCTTGTAGGGGAGCAGTTCCTATTCAAACCACAACACCCTTGTATCGGCAGGAGGAGAGCACCAACCCCACGAGGTTGGCCCCTGACTTCCAGGTTCACCACAGCATGCGACCCCCTACATTAAATGGATACATTTAAGTGAGAAAGACACGCCCATGTCCTCAGCTCCAGAATGGGTGAATGACTTTATCTGGAAAGAGCAACAGTGAAGACCAGGTTGCAGATCTCACACTGAGGTCCTCAGGTTTATGTGATGGGTTGTGAAACCCATGATAAGTGGGAAAAACACTCACAGCAGGAAAAGCAAAGAGACGGAAGGTGGAGGTTGAGCCAGTGTTGTCAGCCAGTGTCGCTGCCCGAAAGTGGCTGCTCTGAGGTGGGACCGACCCTGCAGTGGGAGCAGGGACGGTGTTTCCAAACACACCTGACTCTGAAGCTGACTCTGAAGCGTAGCAAATAAATCCCTGCTGTTTTCTGTTGGGGCACGGTCTTGTGTAGCCCAGGCTGGCCGGGCATGCACTATGTAGCTGAGGATGACCTGAATTTCTGATCCTCCCCCCTCTACCTCCCAGCTGGCTGGGATTATATGCATGTACTAGGATGCCTGGTTTAATTTTTTTTTTGAGACGTTGATGATGATTATTTTGCATATGGGTGTTTTGACCTGTGTGCAGTGCTCATGGGGGTTGGGCCCCATCAGAACTGGAGTTACAAATGGTTGGTACTTGCCACGTGGTGGACTCGAACCCAGCTCCTCTGGAAGAGCTGCTGCTCCTCTTAAATGCTGAGTCATCGCTTTAGTTTGCCACACTCCTTAATTTCTTTCTTTCTTTCTTTCTTTCTTTCTTTCTTTCTTTCTTTCTTTCTTTCTTTCTTTCTTTCTTTCTTTCTTTCTTTCTTTCCTTTTGAGAACCGTGCCTAGTTTTGCTTGGTGCTGTGGAAGGAGCACAGCTTCCCGGCTGACAGGAAGCCTTGTGTAGATCCGCATCCCCAGAGCTGCTGTCGCCCGAGCTTTTCAGCTGGGGGTGTTCAATCTGGAAGTTGCAGGTGGTTTTCAAAGAGTAAGTTTTGACTTGGGCCTCACCGTGCTTGCTTCCTCAGAAGCCCATCTGCACCTGTAGCTGTCTCCATGTCTGTCCCCAACCCCTGCTGCCATGCATGTCCTTCTCAGGCTCTGGCCTGCTCTCTACCTCGGATTTCTGAGACAGTTTCTCATTGACTCAGAAACTCACCAATCCAGTTCTGCTGACTGGCCACCAGCTGCAAGAATCCATCTTTCCAACCCGCCAGGGGTGGCCCACGCCTGTAACCCCAGCACTCAAGGGGCCGAGGCAGTGAAGTTTCTGAGTTTGAGGCCAGCCTGGTCCTCAGAGTGCATTCCAGGATAGCCAGGGCTACACAGAGAAACCCTGTCTCAGAAAACAAAACAAAAGAGAATCCATCTTTCTACATCCCCAGTGCTGGGGTTACAGATCCATGCTGCTGCGTCCCACTTTTCCAAACTTAGGTTCCTATGTTTGCACAGCAGGCGCTTAATGGATAGAATTACCTCCCTGCCCCCTTGATGATTTTCTTTTGGTTCTTTTTTATTTTTATTTTTATTATTTTTATGTACTGAGTCCTCAACACACAACTTAGAGGATGGGTTATTTTGTTGGCCCGCTGACATATGAGAATACTGAGGTTTGCAAAGCTACATCCCAGCTTGCCGTGACCCCTGGGCTTTCAGATGATGGGGCAGATGCTGGAGGCCCAGGGAAGGGGAGTGCAGGCACCCGGTGCTTGCAGATCCTGAGACAATTGAGGGGCACACTCATCCCAGCTCATCTCAGTGCTGGTGTGTGCCTGTGCTGAGGTGGTTGGTTTAATGGCCTTGTTTATTGTATGGCTGTGCAATCTAGATGATAGTTTCTGTGTGCAGTCAATCAGTTCATCCACAGGGGGTACTGTCTGTGAATTGTTCATTTTTGTTCCTGGACCATGGAGCTAGGCTCATAGCAGACACTGTATTCATCTGCTGAATTGAATACATCCTGAAGGGCTGGGGAGCTAGCTTAGTGAGTAAAGAGCTTTTGGCACAAGTGTGAGGTCTTGAGTTTGAACCTCTAGCACCCACATAAAAGGTCAAAATTGAAAGGGTAATTTTCACACCACAGTCAAGCCCCCAGATCATCAGAGACTGCCTGTATTATGGAGTTTTAAAATCTTTCTCATTACTCTGTATGTGTGCTGTGTGTGGTGTGGTGAGGCCTGAGGACAACTTTGTGAAGCTGGCTCTCTCCTTCCATGTTTATGTCAAATACAAAATTCAGGCCGATGTGGCAGGTGCTTTTTCCCACAAAGCCATCTCTCTGGTCCTGTGTGATCATTTATTATTAAGATCATCAAGGTTTTGGGGTGTGTAATTTCTTCTGGGATGTGGGATGAAATTGGATCCACCTCCCCAAATAAAATGAGTCATTGTGCTTCAGATTTATGAGGTGTCTGTAATTTGGGGACAGGGCCAGAATATGGGTATAGGGGTTTTATAAAACAGCCTTTCTCCATTTCCTCTGCCCACTCACCGGCTCACCCATTCGCTGTTGCCCTCAACCTAGGAGGGAACTAGATTTTCCAGGAGCCTTGATATTCATTTCAGAGACTTATTTGTTTATTTGCATACTCGTTAGACTATCAGGCCCTTGATTTCGCACTGAGATAATGAGTAAATAATATAACACTGCCCTCTAGGGGTCATAGAAAGTCCAATGAGTACAGACCCTGCACACAGGAATCCCTGCCGTTCTTATTAGAACTAGTTGTGGAAGTCCTGCTATTGTGGGTTTGTGGTAAACGTATATAAATGATTGAACGCTAAATATGAGTAACCCCCGTGCCTGTTCCCCTCTCCTCCTTAGCTATGCACGGGACATTTGTGATCTTGTTGCCATTCAGTCTGATCGTGATGGTGTTTGGGGGGATGACTGGGTTCCTGAGCTTCCTTCTCCGAGCCCACCTCCTTCTGCTGCTCACTGGGACCCTCTTTCTCTTTGGAGGTAGGTTTCAACCTGTCGGGGGCCCAGACTCTGCAGTTCCATGGGTGGCAAGTGCTGTGCCTAGCCCTCTTCAGGGCAGGCCTCAGCTTCTGGAAGGGCTTTCCCCCATTGTGAGAGGAGGTGGAAAGGGCAGTGGTTTCAGTCTTGAGCTTCTCAGATCTCTGGTTCCAGGGAAGGAAGAGAAAGGTGGGGGGACACAGCCCTGGGAGCCATCCCTAGCATCTTGCTGTAAAGCTGTCTGCCATCTCTGTCTGGTCCTCCAGTGATGGCCTTGGCTTCTGGTTCAGTTTCGGGCACCTACTGCCTTTGCTCCTCCTGCTGAGCAGCATTTCTGACGTGGGAAATCAGACTGGCCTGGCACAGAAGGATGTGCTGTACATGATTTCACTTGGCTGCAGGTTCTCAGTGAACAGAGCTCACAGTGGGACAATAAACATGAGTGGAAGATGCCTCTGGGTCTGGGGGTGTGCTGGTTGAATAGCCCTCCCCTCATTCAGCAGGGGTAATAAGTTCAGAGACCTGTTGTCCATTCTTGCGATTACAGGCAGCACCCATAGACCCTGCCCTCAAATGTGGCTAAGGGGGTAGATCTAGGTATTTCACCATAAAAAAGGCTGTGTGTGGTGACACATGTGTTCAACGGCTTATTAAGCTGCTCCACCACACACACACACACACACACACACACACACACACACACACACACAC